GCCGCTAAAGTACTACTCTGTTGCAGCGTTTGTTGAAGAAACGCCACTATAGATGAACCCAATTTTGGCGTTTTTATATAAACGCCGCTAAAGTACTACTTTGTCACGGCGTTTTGTATAAAAACGCCGCTAAAGTTACCATTTTATAGCGTTTGGAATGTAAACGTAACTATATGTTTAAAGTTAGTGGCGTTTACTCTCAAAACGCAACTAGAAACGCCGTTGTAGAACAGTTTTGTTGTTGTGTATAAATCTCGTTGAAACTTCTATGAATAATGTTCGGAACTCTTATTTTGGTGATTTCAAAGCCTAATGAAGTAAAAGAGGGTGTTAAGTGAGAGTGTGAATACTAAGGGTGAAGCATTGCACGAACCAAGTGACATCGATGACAAAAGAATTATTGTTAATTTTTTAGGTCATGGGCTCGAGCCCCATGAATACTAAGGTTGTGAGTGTTTAATATTAAATAATTAAATAAGCATCTACTCGATCTAAATTATTTGATAATATAATATTGATTTTTATTTAAATTTTAATAAACGTTAGGAAATGTAAAACACGATGTAACAATGAAGTTTAATAAACTAAATTGACATCTCTTGCATAAAGAATGAAATCCAAAATCATGAAAGAAAACTGAAGGATGTTTCAGATACAAAAACAACGTCAACTACTTTCATATTCATATATAAATGAAACATTGTCTAGCATTGTGGAAGATCCGCTGGCGGCGGAGGCAAGGTTGTCGCCGGAGTTGGTCCGTTCTCAACCACGAAGGCAGTGGCCAGTCCTATTGGCAAGTGCGCGTCAAGGTGGCAATGCATAAACCATACACCTGCACATTTTAGATGAATTGAAAAAAAATGTTGAGTTGAATATCTTTTCAATGCTTTTAAATAAGAATCTTTGACAGATTCTGATGACAGAAAATAAACCTGGATTATTAGCTACGAATCTGATGACAGCCCATCCTCCAACAGGTACAGCGATAGTGTTGCGCATTTGGGGGTCGAAAAGATTGAACTTGTTTGTATCTGTGGCTGGGTTATAGTTTCCGAACCCTTGAGCCATTACATGGAAATCAAAGCCATGGAGGTGCATCGGATGATTTTCCACTCCAAGAATAGCCGTGTTCTGCAAAACCATCTCCACGGTGGAGTTAAACTTAAGCTTGGTGGTTTTGGTTCCTTTTGGAGCAAATAGCAGAGGCAGGTTGCTGTTAATGCTTGCGTTGGTGTAGTCGAATTGAACCGGGGGCTTGGCCAGGAAATCAGTGGTGTAAACTCCTCCAACGTTGAAGAAAAAGGCTTGCAACATTGACAAGCCATTAGGTGGCACGAAGGATTGATTGTTCATGGCGGCCGAGAGCTTTGTTCCATTAAATGGACCCTGGCAAGTTGTGTTTGACGGGCAGACTTGGAGCGCCAATCCAATGGTGACGAACATTTTGTGGTCCACTTTAACCGGGACAGGGTCCCAATGAGGCCCACCGACCAAACTAGTAAGGTTGCTATAAAACTTATGAGCCGTGGGGGTGTCGTTGAAAGCAGGTAAGACTGGCATTAGCGGCGTTGTTGAAGATACTGCACCGTCATAGACGATCACACCCCTCGTTGTAGTAGTATCAAACGGTACTATACCAAATGCACTTGCATAAGCTCTCGCGGCCATGTAATACGACCCGATCGGCTGATCCGCTGTTAGCAAAACATCAACTGTCTGTCCAGGGGCAATAGCCACCACGTCGGTGACATACCGGTTGGTGTAACAAGCGTCAACAGCCACTACTGTCATCTTATGATTGGCTATCTTGTAAAATAGCTGGTTATCGAGTGCAGCGTTGATAATACGTAAGAGATAGGTCTTCCCTCGCTCCACCTTAAGCTTGTACATTTCTGGTTATCGAGAATCATATAACGAAATTAAAGATTTAAATTCGATACGTTAACAATATATAATTAATTTCATACACTTACGGTTTGTAGAGCATGGATAGAGATCACCGGGCCAGCCATTTATTGTATAAGCATCAGAAACATTCGGACCACGGCCAAGGGCTAATGCCTCGTTTTGGATATCAACGATATTAGCATTCCACCACTCACCTGCAACCGGCATTGCTCTTTGTTAGCTAAAACCTAGAGAGCTATGGAACATAATGTAAAATCTTAGTTTCCCAATAGATATATATACCTAATAGGATGGGAACTTCCCTGTAGGGCTTAGGGAACGGGTAAGAGTTGCCGGTTCTAGGGCGGATAATGAGTGCACCGTAAACGGTGGCACGGAGCGCCGAGGCATGAGCGTGCCACCAAAGGGTTCCTTCCTGTTTAATGATTTTGAATTTGTATGTGTATTTATTTCCGGGTTGAATTGGACACTGAGTCACCATATTAGGTCCATCAGCCCAGCCACTCAGTATCTGGAAAACCCCATGCCTGGTCGAGATATCATTAGCAAATAGTTAAAAACATATGACTTTGAGTAAATTCAACTGTAATTTCCATGAAGGTTTACCAGTGAATGGTCAAGTTGTAAGGTGACTTATTAAAGACATGAACAATAAGTGTGTCACCCTCTCGAACTCGGATTCTGGGACCTGGGAAGCTACCATTTACTGCAGTAATCACCTGGCGATTGCATAGCCTGTTAAGAGTCAAATTTTGCACCTGCAAGCAAACTCAAATTATAAGCTTAGGGACATTAAATATCACTAGAAACTTATCGAATATGGCCTTAAATATCATTAAAGGAACGTGAAGGGTACGCTTAAAGCCATGACGATTACATTGAATGTATGCTCCACAATTGCAGCAGAGGCTGTTGAATCAGCCACCAGAAGAAGCAAAGAGCAAGCAAACAAGAAAACAAGGCGCCCCATTTCGATTGAAGCACAAACCATTCCAATAAGAAAGAAGAGAAGAGATGAAGACAAGGAGAGTTAGTGTGAGAGGCAAAGGAGGAAGATAAAGCTTCTATTTATATTGGAACTGCAGCGGCCGGCGAGGTTTTGAACGTGGAACTTTCGTTATAATTTGTTGTGTTTAGTTAACGTAAAGAAATCTTTTTTCTTTGTGACAAAGATGTCAACGCCACCCTACAATATCGAGAATTAAATATTGGAGCTTAGGCATACCAATTGCTTAACAACCTAGCCAAAACGAGTGTGGAAAAAAAAATCTGCTTCTGGAGCTTTGAACTGGCAACCAATATGTTAGTCAGAGCCTTCTTATCTAGGTGCTTAAGTTTGGCCATCAAATCAAGTTTAACATTAATTAAAGAATATGTTTTTATATACCGATGATCAATTGATTTAGCGGATGATACACTAATTCTTTTAATTAAAGTTGAGGGGTTGAATTTGTACGATTGTGAATAGAATAAATTAGGTTAGGAAGTTTGTTTTCATAATAAATTTCTGTAATATCTGATCTGAATTAATTGATTAATAAATTAAATAATGATAATTATATAAAAAATAGGATTTTTGTTCATCGATCAAATCTTAACATATATAGTTGGTAAAGACCGAGTCTTGGATCCTTATCTGTATCTTAAGCATTTTTTTATTATAAAAATTTAGTATATACTTATGCATGTCAATCAAAGTTGTAATTTAAAAAATTGGAAATCATATGAAAGAATCTTGGTGGTTGAAGTCATTCCTTTTGAAATTGATAATCATGGTTTTCAGAACCGGACCGGTTAACGAACCAGTTATATTATCGATTCACTAGTTTAACCGATTGAATCGGTCCGATCGGTCAAAAGAACCGGACGACGTCATAATTATTTAAAAAATTAAATAAAAATATCAAAAATATTTAATAAAAAATAATTTTTTTATATCACAAGTCATATTCAAAGCAAGTCATAACATATATAAGTTAAAAATCATAAATCAAGTGAAACAAAATGATTCAAATTAACTACAACATAATATTTAAGGTAAAACATATTAAATAATAAATATAATTATATAACTATAATTAAAAAATAAATTTGGGACTAAAAAATCATAACAAAATGATATTGTTTGGTATAATTTAAAAAAAACAATCTCACATGGCTAAGAAACATAGAAGAGCATCGCAAAGTCTAGAGAGTAAAAAATATGATAACAAAACAATCTCACATGGCTAAGAAACATAGAAGAGCATCCCAACTAACTTCTATAAATAATAGAGGTAATTTGGCATTCAAAATCATGGAGCCTTTTGGTGAGCATTGAGTGAACTATTCTTTCACTTCAATCAAGTTCGAATTTTAGGCTTCAATCGAGCTTCTAAATTTTTTTTTGAGTTCAAGCCTTTTCGAGTTCAAGTTTCAATATTATATTTCGAGTTCGAGTTGAACTTGATAATTTTTAGCTCGTGAGTTTGAGTCGAGTTGAGCTTACTTTTAAAGTTTTCAAGTTCGAGTCGAGCTCAGCAATACTCGAGTTCGACTTGGCTCGTTTAACAAACAACGTTGTTTGGTTTTTTTTTAAAAAAAAAACAAAATTGGCGGTTTTTTTCTAATTTTTTTTCGATTTTCAGTCGGTCCGGTTCGAACGGTTCAGCGGTTCCGACTGGTTCACTAATAGCGGTTCAACCAGTGTAGATTGAACCGGACTAGGCAGAGATTCCCGGTTGAACCGGCCTGTCCGATTTTCAAAACACTGTTGATAACCTAATTCCCCAATAGCTTCCCTGTGGGGATATAGTTTAGGTGGAATCTAATTACACTGCGAATTTGAGGTAATTAAAGGGCACATCGAATCAAAGAGATGCTGGCTAATGACAATGTGTCAACACCTAGGTAGAATTATTGAACTTGGACCGGAAAACCAAGGAACTAAGGTGTGTACCAATCAATATATTTATCTTTGGTTACGTCGAAACGGTTTTTCGAAAAAGGGAAAAAGGGTATTGTTTCAAAATAATTTTTTATGATCGATTAATGATAAAATATGGTTTAAAGAGTTGCCATCAATATTTGACTAGAGTGTGACTGGGCACCCAAAAACATATTCGTCATTTTAATAAAATATTAATTTTAATTAAAACAATAAACTTGCGGTCTGCGTTACCAAAATTTGAGTTCGGTAGTCGGTTACATGTGGGGAAGGATTATGTAACATCCCAAAAGCAAAGTTAGTGACTAAAATGAAAATTTTGGAAACCTTGTGCTCAATTTCAAAATGAGCTAAAAGTTCAAGGACTTAAGTATAAATATATTAGTATGGGATTAAATAAGAATTATGAAAAGAGTGAAGGGCATTATGATAATTTTAGTTTAAAATATATTTTATCCCTTTTATAAGAGATGCACGTGAAAAAGGGGGAGAATTATCCAGAACCTTTTCTTCCTTCTTCCTCCCATTGCTCTAGCTACAAAGATATCGATCGAGAGCAAGTTCAGATCAATCGACAAGTAATGGGCATCGAAGAAAAGTTAAGAGAATGATATTGACTAGTGAGGCTAGGTGAGTGCATATTAGATAGTATATGATATTTAATGGAAATAAGACTTGCGATAAGTCTATTTCATGTATTAGAATGCATGAATTCATTATTATAAGCATGTGTTTGATATGAGTAAGTGTGATACATGTTATTGCAACTGTTATATGATTGTTGTGAATACATGTTATGTGAATATGATATAAACTATGTGACTATGTATGAATTGTATAATTTATATGATTTTAAGGTATGTGAATACATGTTTATAAGATAAATTATGTAATAATATGAGAATATGATAAAAGTGAGTTCATGAGAATTAATATGAGTTAAGTAAGCAAATGTAAAGGTTATATAAATAATAGGAACCTGAGTTGGACAAGTACATAGTTGTGTGATCATTTATGCGAATTAGTATAATAGAATTGTATGATTAAATGAGAAGTGAGATAAGCTAAACGAGATTCACCTATAGAAGGATATGAGAATAGTATATCAATTAGGAGACTTTAACATAAATGATGATACGAACATGTAAGATAAGCTATAAGGGAAAGATTCATGTGCTTAAATAAAATTATGGCATATAAGTTATATGAAATTGAACTAAGTAAATAGATTAGATTAATATATATAAATGAAATAATAGATGTGATATGTGTTTATAAGTATGACATAGGTTACATGATATAGGTGAATATAAGAGAATGAAGCATGAGCTATATGGGATGATATAAGTTATTATATACATATATGCTATATGCTATTAAACAGGACATATGTGATTATGAGAAGAAGAATATAAACCATGTGAATATAAGTATAGGTAAAATGATATATATATGACTATGAGTTATAAGAATATTATATGATTTAGATAAGGATAAGTTATGAGATTATATATGAAATGAAATAAGCTATATGAGTACATATTTATGTGATGAAATGGTGGACTATATGAACATGTAAATATATGTCTATGAGAAAACATAAGAATGAGATATAAGTAATGTGACAAGAAATTTGAAATGACATGAAACGTTGATATAAGCTATGTAAAAGTGATATGCGTGACTATATGTATATGTGATCCAAGTTATGTGACATAAGCTATGTGAAATATGGAAGTGAATTACATGTTTATGTGAATATATGAAATAAAGGATAATGCCCATGTTATATGTCATGAGAGCTAGGGGTATAGTTGGTATGCCAAGAGTCGAGGGTTCTACGTGGTCCTTCGGGGATATATATGTAATCCTTTGGAACATATATGCGGTACTTCGGTACACTTATTTGGTCCATTGGAATATGTATATGGTTCTTAAGGAGTGGTCCTTCGATACATAGTGGTCATTCGGGACATTTCTGCACGGTCCTTCAGGACAAATTCTAAGTGCCCCTAGTGGGATTTTATACGAGCTGTGGTGACATCATATGTGATAGGGAAGCGGTGGCGGATTGATGAACATTGTTGTTGTTGAATAATCAAACCTAGAAAAGCTCTAGATTCGATGAAGAACAATAAGGAATGAATGGGGAAGGTGGCAGCAATAGCTAGGGTTTCTTTTTAGTGCTGGAAACAAGATAAATAAAAGATAAAGGAATTGAAAATAAAGAAAAATAACCAAGAAATCAAAAGATATCCCTTATGAAAGTGAAATGTAAAGATGATTGATGGCGTGGATGAATATGTGAAAAATCGATGGATAATGTCCTATTGAGCCCTCCTAGTCGCAATGAAAAGGCAAACACGATAATATGGCTCTAACCAACCCTCCTAGTCGCAATGAAAATGCAAATTGAAGTGTGAAGATTGATCTCTCTCACAAGAACTTGAAAGAACAATAGGAGAAGAAGCTTCGAAGGCACAAGGCAATCATCACTTGCAAAAAGCGAACTCTCGTTGTATTATTAATCAAAGAAATCTGATTTACAAAGTTGAATGAAGCATCCTTTATATAGGGGCTAAATTCTAAAGGTCCTAAATAACTAAAGAATAAAATAATAATAAACTAAACATGTTTTAACTCTAATTCTTAATAAAATAATAATAACTAAAAATATTGTATTAACCCAACCTTAATTCCTAATAAAATAATGAATCTGATCCTAAAAGATAATTCATCATCCTATATTAAATTATATTACAAATAATCAATATAAATATTGAAAATTCGTAATATTTACAAAATCACGTATTAATCTCGTATAAAATTTCCTGCATGCACCGTCTTCAGTAAAATGATCATATCTTGAGTTCCCGATGTCGAATTGATGAGATTTAAGAACCGTTGGAAATATAAGAGCCATACGGTTGTATCTCCAGAAGACATGTTAATAGGATAACAACTGGATCCCCTTAAAAAAGTTGTTTCAAATATGTTTCTATTAGACCCTTACGGATGAATGCTTGAACTGCGATTTGAAGCTTGTCTTTAAGAAGTTTGGTCTGGCCTCATGTGATAGGGCCAAGTGGTATAGTAAATTCATCATCCTTAGCTTTACGGCGTGTGGTGCATGTATCATCTCTCCCTTCCTTAAAAGGATTCGTCCACGAATCTGAAATATCAAAAGGAGATTAGAAACATTAAAGGATGCACTCACGTTATACTCACCGGGAAGATCAAAGTGGTAGACATTGTCATTGATTCGTTCAAGGACTTGGAATGGGCCATCGCCTCGTGGGTCTAGCTTGGATTTCCTTTGTGTCGGGAACCTCTCTTTTCTCATGTGAACTCATACCCAATCTCCTGGTTCAAAGGTGACATGTCGTCGGCCCTTGTTAACTCGGTTTGTAATTTCCTCATAGGTTTTCTCCATCTTGAGTTTGGCTTTGGTGTGAATGTCTTTGACAAGGGCAACCTTCTTTTCACCATCTAAACTGGCAACCTGGTCTAAAGGTAAGGGAATAAGATCCAAAGTAGTTAATGGGTTAAAACCATAAATTATTACGAGTGAATGAATCGATTATAAGGAAAGTCAACAAAAGGTAAACATTCTTCCCAATTACGAGTATTCTTACCTACCAAAGTTCTTAGCAAAGATCCTAGAATCCGATTTATTACTTCGGTTTGTCCATCGATTTGAGGATGACAAGAAGTGGAATAGATAAGTTTTGTGCCAATCTTACCCCATAATACCTTCCAAAAGTGGCTTATGAACTTAGTGTCACGATCAGACACAATGGTGCAAGGAATGACATGAAGGTGGACTATTTCTCGAAAGAATAAATCAGCAATATGTGTGGCATCGTCCGTTTTATGGCAAGGAATGAAGTGTGCCATCTTTGAGAATCTTTCCACAACCATAAAAATATTATCTCGTCCTTTCTTACTGCGGGGTAAGCCAAGTATAAAATCCGTCGATAAATCAATCCAAGGAGAAGAAGAAATTGGTAAAGGCATGTACAAACCATTAGGATTTACCTTTAACTTTTCTTGTTTGCACGTGATGCATGATGTAAAAATCTTTTCCACTATTTTACGCATGTGCAGCCAAAAGAAGTGTTTCATGACCATATCGAGTGTTTTGTGAACACCGAAGTGTCCCATGAGTCATTCGACATATGACTCGTGAACTAAGAACTCTTGCAAAGAGCCTTGTTGTATACACAACCTGTTCATATGAAAAAGAAAGCCATCTACAAGATAAAACTTGTTAAAAGCACCTTTTACACATTGTTTATAAATCTCAAAAAAATTTGGATCGTTAGGATAAAGTTCTTTGATATGTGCAAAACCTAGAACATTAGCATGCATCAGCTACGATGTAATCTTTCCCTTGTTTGTATTTGATGATGTAAGGAAAAGATTCAATGAACTCAACCCATCGAGCATGTCGTTTGTTTAACTTACCTTGTCCATTTAACCATTTGAGTGATTCATGGTCCGTGTAAATGACAAAATCTTTAGGGAAAAGATAGTGTTGCCATACTTCGAGTGCTCAGACAATTGTAAGAAGTTCCTTGTCGTAGGTAGAGTAGTTCAATTGTGTACCTTTTAACTTTTCACTAAAGTAAGCGATAGGTTGTCTTTCTTGCATGAGGACGACACCAATGCCTATGTCTGAAGCATCACATTCTAGCTCAAAGGTGTTAGAAAAATTGGGAAGACGAAGAATAGGGGCAGAACATAACTTATCTATAAGAAGTTCAAAAGCTTTTTGTTGTAGTGGTCCCCATTTAAATTCAATTAACTTTTTGATGATCTCGGTTAATGGTACAACAATGGTTGAGAAATCTTTGACAAAGCGACGGTAGAAACTTGTCAAACCATGAAAAGATCTTACCTCGATGATGGAAGTAGGCGTGGGTCATTCTTGAATTGCCTTGACATTCTCTTTATCTACATGGATACCTTGTACACTAACTATAAAGCCTAAAAACATAAGCTTATCACTGCAAAATACACACTTATCCATGTTAGCGTATAAATGTTCTCGTCGAAGAACTTCGAGAACCATTCGAACGTAAATGAAATGAGAGTCAAGAGAAGATGAGTATATAAGAATGTCATCAAAGTAAACGACAACAAATTTACCTATAAACTCCTTACGAATGTGAT